CCTGTCCAATCTGAGAGACAATTGCATCGGTTGGGTCTGACACACTTCCCACCATTTAAGCAGGGAGACTGGCAGACAGCTGGAAGGAAAAAAAAAGCATGGATTATGTAATCAATATTTAGCAATGTTGAAGCAAAGGAACAAATAGTATGTGAGGATGCCGTAGGATTGGGTGGTGTTTCCTTCTCTTGAACATAGGGTAGGCATATGTTGGCCAAACAATCATAGTCGGAGGAGGAGTCAAGATGGCAACCAGGCAGAATCACCTGCCCAGTGTTCCTGTTGTTAGATCAGAAAATTAAGAGAAATGGGAGTATGAGTGCAGATCTCACCAAGGTGTGCTGAACTTGAGGGCAACCTAACCACATGGAGCAAGTCAGAGAGGTCTACAGGGTTGGCCCCAATCAGAGCCAAACTGACCCCCAACCCTAGAAATATGTGCTACAGAGGACAACACTAAACCTGCAGGTTGTGAAGAGGGGCCAGCCTGCCACATCCACACAGAAGCAAGCCAAGAAGGAAGAGAGAGAGCGAGGGACTAGACCCCAAACCCTGAGGATGACATCTCTACACGGAGCTGCTGCTAAGGCACAGAGAGGACTGGGGGGCCATCAACAGCTCGAGACATGATGTTCCTTCACTGGAGCATACTGTGGCAGAGGACAATTCTGGGGACATACGGTGGGGAGTGAGTCTGGTCTGACCCCCCCACCCCCCAGTGGGGTGAACCAAGAAGGGAAGATAACGGACCAGCAACAGGAGCAAAGCCACAAAACCCCTGAGGAGTCCTCAAAATAGACTTCAGGATAGGAGGGGCAGTTCCCCGAACCCCCCAGGACCAGTGGGGAGATCATCATCAAGGTCAGTGGGCAGAACTAGAATTATGTGTGTTTTTTCATTTATTTTTCTCTCTTGATTCAATCTTTTGTTTTGTCTGTATTATTGTTGTGCTGCTTACCTATGTAAGGTAGCAAGCCTGCAGAAAAAACAATGGGACCAAAGGTTCTGGAGGGACTTGGGCGGGGAGGAGGAGGCAGGAGGTGGGGATGAGTGAAGAGCAAACAACGCCACAGACAGGGTAACAACTAGGGAATTATAAGCAACACTGAGGAGGACGTAGAGATCCTGGGGGTGTTGGGGCAACAGCAATCTAGCTGAGGAATTTCTAAGAGGCAGAAGCAGGGCGAGTGTGACGGTGGGGCAGGAGGAAGGTAAAAGGAAACAGAGGAAAGATCTAGGAAGCAAAGCGATGGATAGAGATATAAACATAGGTGTGCACTTATGTAAATATATTAATACATATTTATATGGCAATAATTTGAGGAAGTTGATGGAATTTGGCCCTCTGCTCAAGCCCTCTCTCTCAACATAAGAACACTTTGTTCTAACAACCTGGCTATCAAAAGCTATAGCATCTGGGGTCTTTAAACAAGCAGCCATCTAGCAGAGAAGCAACGAGTCCACACAGAAGAAGCACACCAGCCTGTGTGATCATGAGGTGTCAACAGGATCAGGTAATAGGCACCAGAAGACCACAAACAAACAAAACACATATTGTTGAGAATGAGGGGGGTTGGAGCAGAGTCCCAACCCCATCTGTAGACAATAGGACATCCCCTCACACAAGGGTCACAAGAAAGGGATGAGTCAACCAGGGTTCAGTATAGCACCATTGAAACTATATTCTTCTGGTTCCTTGAGGCTACCTCACCCTCCACTATCATGACCCCAGTCCTGCCTTTCAGTTCTGGCTAGACTGGAGCATGTACACTGGTGCAGATAATAGCTCGCGACACTCAGAATCCATTTCATCGCGACACTCAGAATCCATTTCAGAGAATCGATACCCGGAGGGGAAGGGGAAGGTGGGCGGAGAAAGGAAGGGGGAACTCATCACAATGATCAATAATCCCCCCCACCCAAGGGAGATGAATAACAGAAATACGGGTGAAAGGAGACAGTTATCAAGGGGTCACGAGGGTGCAGCTGGGGGAAGGGAGGGACAAAAGAGGAGTTGATTCTAAGGGCTCAAATAGAAAGTAAATGTTTAGAAAATGCTGATGGCAACATATGTGTAAATATGCTTGATAAAATTGATGTATAGAATGTTATTATAAGAGCTGTAAGAGCCCCCAATAAAACAAAACAATGACATAGTCCTGAATGGCTCCCTTTGGGCTTTAGTAGAGTGACTGCACATTTTATTCGGCTTGTGAGTTCCACTCCCACTTCCGTGGTTTCACTCTGAAGCATGCCCTGGCTTTGAAGTGAAATGACATGCTAGCCCAGCCTCAGTGCTCAAGAGAAACAGTGGGGTGAGCTACCCTGTTCTGTTTTTGCCTTCTTTCTACTCCGTGGGGGAAGTAGTATAAGTATCCTTTACAGGATGCATGCTGGAATGTTAGAGTTTATACTACATAATTATAACAAATCTTATTCTTTAGCAGTTATCTAAACATTCAGGGCATTAAAAAGGCAAAAACTAGTCATTGTAATCTTTTCTTTTTACTGCGCCCCCCCCACCCCCTATCAACTTCAGAATTATATTTCTTTTGAGTGTTGTTGCAGGTGATGTGAATAAGGCTGACAATGCAGTCCATTTAGAGGCTCTTCTCTGGCACATGAACCAGACAAGTCTCTCTGAGGTCGCTCAGCATTGACAGCACTATTCAAGGGACCATCTCCAGTGGTTCTGCAAACGCGGGACTCCTTGAATGCCGCCACCACCACATGTGATCTGAGCTACACTCATCAGAGTGTAACAAACGGACGCAAACCTGGAGAGGAAGCCTACCTGCATGACAGCGGGACCCCGTCCAGCCTGGTGGGCAATCACACTGATAAGGGGCCACACATCGGCCTCCGTTCAGGCAGGGAAGAATGCATATCGCTAGAAAGGAGAGCAAAAGAATCCAGTCAAAACCTCCATGCTCAGGTAAGTTCAAGTGCTCCTAAATCATTTTGCCAGAGGGATACCTCACTTGACCCACGAGATAAGCTTCCCTACCTGTTGTGCTTATTAATCAGCATCTCTGGACAACCACCATGAAGAAAGTATGTTTGGCTCCTTAGTCAGAGGTAATGACATGATTGCCAAATGCACTCCTTCAGGGAAGGCACACTCACCCTAGTGGGTGTCTGCTAAGTGCTAGGCTCAGAGCCAGAACGGACTAGATGGTAGTGACTTTTTGGTTTAAGTGCTCTGCGTTGCGCCTTACAAAACAGGCAGGATGTTCTCCATTTATTATCATTTCAAATTTCCATTATCCATGGCATACAATGGTCTAAATGGGTTGAGCTGCCAAAGACTTTCCCCATCAAGCTAGTAGTGGGGGACCACTCAGCCTTGGTTTCCATGGAGCCAAGACCTGGTGGGGCTGGAAGCAGGTCTTCTTTCACAGCAATGATTCCTCCTACTGAGGCGTGAGCTTGTCTACTGTCTCAGGAATCCCAAGGGGCAAGCCAGAGGTTTGTTAGGAAAGCAGATTCTCAGGCCCGCCACCGACCCACAGACTCAGAACCTGTGGTTCAACCACACCCCTCAGGTGATCTGCATGCCGGAGAGCTGGAGAAACCCTGGTCTAACGCACGAGGGCAGGCCCCGGCTCAGTCAACTGAGCCAGGTCTGCAATACCTCCTGGTCAACACTCCCCGAGGCTCTGGACTCAGGTCAGAGCTGGGAGAAGCTCCCTGGGGAGGGGTGATTAGGAGGGAAATCATTTCTCTTCTTCATCACCAACCAGGAATACTTGCTCTGGTGAGTTGTCAGAAGTCTAAATGTCTGTTCAGTCCACGTGGTCCTTTCTACATCAGGTGAAACCGTCCGTCACAGTTTAAAAGGTTTCAAATGATCTTCTACAATGTCTGACCTTTAGAAAGAACTAGTGGCCACCACATTAGTAAGTTGGCTCGTCCTAAGGGTTTATAGATGCCTCTCGCATCAAAGTCGGATGTATGAAACCATTCTACATTCTATCCATGAGAGAGAGAGAGAGGGAGGAGCCCTGGTGGCATAATGGCTCTGTGTTGGGCTGCTGACTGCAAGGCTCGCAGTTGGAAACCACCAGATGCTGCCCGGGAGAAAGCGAAGGCATTCTACTTCTGTAAAGGTGACCGTCTCAACCCCCACCCCCACCTCCCAACCCCTGGGGACGTTGTACCCTTTCTTCTAGGGCCACTATGGGTCAGAACTGACGCGATGCCCGCGAGGTTGGAGACTGAAAGTCTGATTTGAAAAGACAGCATGTGAAATTTGTGGACAGACTCACGCTCTTCACAGAGGCGTCCCATCCAGCCATCTGGGCAGGAGCAGGCATTTGGGCGTTGGCAGACACCTCCATTCTGACATGGGAATCGACAGACAGCTGGAAAGGGAGGAGGGGGGGTGTTAAAATCTTGGGAACTTTGGAAGGCGGTTGTCAGAAAATAGCATTGCTCCTTGACATTCGGTGTACATTTCGCTCCTTGATTCAAGCTTTCAGGAACAGAAGCTAAGCTGAATCTCAAGGAGGCATCTCGGCCAATGGAGAAGTGCGGCAACTTATTGGCTCTTATCAAGGCACTGGTTTTTGATAAGGCCTGAAAGGACTCGAGCACAAGTAGCTATCCATAGCTTCTAACACACCATGTCCCCTCGTGACTTCATACTGTTCTCTCCTCCTGACTACCAATCTCTTTCTCTTCCCATTGCCCCATCAACTTGTCCTGGGAAACTTTCTTTCGTTCTTCAACACGTATTCAGAACATCTTCTCTAGGAAACTTTCCCTGACGCATCCCCACAACTTCCAAAAGGGAATGGAATATGGACTTCCTGTTACCATATTCCTTAACATGTTGCAGTCCACACTCTTCTATGGCATGTGTACACATGTTCCTTTCTGTTTTCTCAGGTCCCTAGGTGATCCAAATGGTTCATGCCCTTGGCAAATCACAGGGAGGTGGGAGGTTTGACTTGACCCAGAGGCCCCCTGGAAGAAAGGTGGGGGTCAGTCGTACACACATGGGGTCACCATGACTTAGAGTTGACTCGAAATCAACTGTTTTTCTTTTTCTGGTTTATCTGTCTGCTGCCAGAGATGGTGATTCTTCTACTCCTCTTCTCTCTTCCCCAGGGGGATAATGCTATTTAACATTTTTGGAATAGAGATTTGGAAAAATTTGTTCTGGTTTTCAGCTCCACTTGGGAGGCCTGGTGGCCTTTTCCATAACCCCAAGGGCAGATCCAGAGACTTAGAACCCCCTGTCTGGCCCAGAGGCTTGCCCAGGGCCCTCAGAGTTGGGGCTATCCTTTGGCAGGCAGTGTAAAGCTATGGGAGAGGCAGATGCCTTCCGGTGGGTCAGTTTCTAGAAATGGGGCACTCCTAAGGATGGAATGTGAATCTCCAGTTAGATTGGAAATCATTTCATGGAGTTAACAGGCCAATTTGCTTTCATATGAAAGTTCCCTGTCTTAACTAATTGGAAGGGAATCTTGTGTGACCAATTTCCTAAGAAGCTTCAGTATTACTGTCACATAAGTGAGCCACCTTGTAGCATTCTCTCCAACACCTCCTCGCTGGGAGTCTCATCTCTGGCTTGGCCCGTGGTGAATAGGAATCGGCTGGGCTCTGAATGCTCTCTCTTTGCTACTCAGGGATTCCATCACTTAGTCTTTCTCTATTTAACATGTTCAAACTCCCCTTTCATTTCCTCTTCACCCAGTAGAGGCAGCTCCAAAGGACGTTGGATACTGGAAACAGTACCCTGGCTGGGGGTTGGAGGGTGGCAGCCAGGGTATTGGTTTCAAAGGTGTTGCTCAGAGTGCCAGCTTTTGCTGGTTTCAGGAACAGAGAGATGGTGGAGGGAAACTTGGGCGAGTTTTAACTCTTCCAAGACATCTTTGGTGCTGTTAGTGATCTCTCAGTATCCCCTATCTTAAAAAAAAAACACACCAAAAAAACCCCTTCAAATTCCTTTTCAATGAACTCAAAATAACACAAACCAACTAATGGGCCACCTGGCCTATAAAAGACACCCAACTAAGACCTCTTTCTCTCCAGCCACACATGGAGTTCTAGAAAGTGCAGTTTGCACTTGTCATTTCTCTGCCTTCTCCTCTGTTCAACCCATAGCAGCCCGGCTTCTGCTTTCAACACACCCTACAGTTGCTCGAGTCTGTGTTGGTGGGGTAGCTGCTGTTAAGTCCAATGGGGTCCAGCTAAATTCCTTTAAGTTGCAGTAAAAAAAAAAAAAACCTGTCATGTATCCCCTTACCCCTGCAAATAGGAGGTGATGTCCAAGTTCCATTTTCTAGGCAGACGCTCCGCAGGGAACCTTCCAACATATATCCACTGTAACATGCGTAGGTGATCATGTCTCCGTACTGATAATGCACACCTCGAGCAATCGCATTTTCTACGTGAGCTGGTGGGCTGCAAGAGATTTCTACAGGAAAGAAAAGATAAAATATGCAAAGATAGATTTCCCCCTCCTGCATACTGTTGGGTAAGTTATTTTTTCAATCATTGTGAAGTGGAATTTCTTAATATGGTTCTTCTATCCATATGTCTGTCATTCCCACCAAATGATTGTGCGGGGCCATGCAAACAGGGGGTGGGTAACGGTAGTAGAGGGGATTGGTTAGTTTTAGTTGCCACTCCCCTGACTACAAGGATAAGCCTTCTCAGAAGCAAGAATAGAGAATTCCGGAGCTATCTAGGAAGAAGTGCCAGCAGTAGAGTGCTCAAGAGCTCTGTCTAAAATGGCAGAGGTCAAGACTAGAGGCACCAGAGGCCACGGGACAGGGCACTGGAGCCAGGCTAAGACTAAAGGAGGCAAGGAAACCATAAAATAGACAAGAGCATCAGTGAGAGCATGAGACTATGAGGCAGAGCAGCGGGCTGGCTTCTTGGTCCACAGAGGCCGAGGCCAAGAGACCATGTGACTGACAGGCCTTGGACTATCAAGAGACTGGGCTGTTGGCTGAGTTAAGTTGTTGCTGTGAACCAGTGACTGTATCCTTGATTTGTTCGGATCCTGCTTTGGGGTACCCTGCTCACTTCCTTAATGACCCCCCTTTGTTGTCTGTGCGTTCGATGTGGCCACTGCAATGGAGCACGGAATCCAGCAGAAAAGCAGAGTGTCATGGGAGGAACCGTTGGTGTCAGAACAGGTAAAGAAGGATGGAGGATGGTGGCGCATCTGACTGTGGGTCTCCAAGACTGTAGCTCTGTCTGGAAGTAAAACATTTCATCCTTCTCTTGAGGAGCGGCCGGTGGTTGTGAATGGCTGGCCTTGTGGTTAGCAGCCGGATTCATAATCCACCATGCCACGAAGGCTAGTTTCCATACAGGTCTTCCTGTTACAACTAGGGGGAAGGGTGTTACATAAGCATTTGAGACCCAAGTCCCAGTGAATGGTAAAGCACACAGTTAGCTGGTGTAAAACCACAATTCTAATGCGACAGTAGGCTGCTAGTTGAAGAATCAAGGACTGGGTTGTTGATTTCTTCTATTAAGGATAGTGCGCATGTACTAATTCCTTTACTCTTCCAAATAAACCCACACCATTGATATTATTGGTGTTATTAACAAGTAAGAGCCCTGCAGCTCAAGGGATTTGAACACTAGCACAAGGTTAGGGTTAAAAAGTTTGAGGGTGGACTTCAAACCCGTGTCTTCTTGGATTCCAGAAAATGCCCTTGGCCTTCCCATGCACATTTTGTATCTCCTGAGTTGAAGTGCAGGGTTCTGAAGGTGGAAACTGTTATAAGCATGTTATATTTTAATACCTTGGAGCCCAGGGCTTTTGCATCTGATTAGACTTAATGATTATTTGTTAATTGATTGCTGGAGCTGAGGTAGCTTGGACTACAAGAGTCTGGAGGGTAGGGTTTAGGGTGGGGCCAAGGAGCTGCTCTAAGTGGAGGTAGAAGGGGTGTGTTATGAGATGCTTTCTCAAGGAGACAGAAGATGCCAACAGGTTGTATGCTATTCATCAACATGGCCCATTGACAAAATCTCAGGTCTCACTTCCAGACCAACTATCAGACACCAGGAGTGCAGCACCCAGCAACCTCTGTTTAACCAGCCCTCCGGGAGTTGTGATGCAGGCTGAAGACCAAGAACCACTGGTTAGTTTGAAGAATATGAAAGAAAAACATCTACTGAAAATTATATATCTTTCTCACTCTTAGAAAAGCACATCATGAAAATCTGTTTCATGACACCTGGTCAGTTAAGTTATAGCCCAGAGCTAAAAACATTTCTCTTGTACTGAAGTATATTTTGGTTGGAACTCAAGAATCTTTCTTGTTGTAGTTTCTGAGTTCTAAAAATTGACAATGAAGAACTGATAACCATGAGAGGAGAGAGATCTAAATATCCACATTTAAGTTACTGCCTTTAAAGTACTAGTATACCACCCGCTGACTTACTCTCACACTTGGCATCTGTCTGTGTCCATGTCTCATCGGGGTTGCAGGTAATGATGCCTTGGCCTTGGAGCTGGAAGCCTTTCCTGCACTTGATTGACACATTCTGATCAACATAAAACTCCTTTTCAGACAGCAGAGCGTTCTCCGGGATTACGAAAGGGACAGGGCATAGATTTGCTGTTTAAAAAGGAAAAGAAATGCTTGCTGTAAAAAGAGAGAGAGACAGAGAGAGAGACATAGCCCTCCTAAGAGTGAGGCTGTCATTGATAATATGTGGTGTAAGAATGTAGACCTTCAAATATCAAATGCGTACTGTTTTTGAACTCATATGGAGTCATTTGAAAGGATAAAATCAGATATGATCTGAAAGCACCACGCTATTCTTGCTCTAATGTATGATTTTAAAATTCTGAGATGACAAATTAAATAGTGGTCTAAAGTTAGGGTCCAGACAACATTTAGAACAGAAGATAAAAACAGAGATGATATTAGGATTGCTTACTGCAAGTGTGCTCTCTAGTCCCTCCTTCTGAAGGCACAGCCTTTAGCTTCATGGTAACACAGAAGCCACCACGGAAGCCACCGTCATGTGACAAACTGACGGATTAGTGGAGGGTTTCCTGACGTCGCTATAACGAATTATCTTTACTCCCTACATTTATGTGTCCTTTATTATGATAATATTGCCTAGGAATATATTCCCTTTTCTCATTTCCCTCCCTCAATAGAAATCATTTTACGTTATGTGAAGTTGTTGGTTTTTTCATCAAGTTGCATCTATTTTTTCCCTTCAGCACTTTGGACTTGTAATGATACAAGAACTTCGATAAAAGCTTTTTCTGGGCCAATCTCACTACCAGTGGAGGTTTGCTCTGTGCCTCAGCTACTTGGGAAACAAATCCAGAAACAGAATTCAGTGAACACATCTCCTAAGTCAACACACACGTTTGCAGAGAGGAACTGGGTGGCTCCAGGTTTCATTGTCGGTGCAGCGAGCCTTTGGCGCCCCTTCTAGGCTGTAGCCCCGGTTGCAGGAATACGTCACACTGGGTATACCGGTCGCATTTTCAACGTCTGCTTTTCCATTCAGAAACTCAAGTGGGGCTTCACACCTGGTCTCTAAAGTGAAAAATAAAAGTCACCCATGGAATGTTTTCCTCAATCCTCTTTTTCTGTTAACAATTGCTTGATACAATATATGAAATGCTATAGCTCATTTGTATGTGAGGTGTTGTGATGAAGAAGAAAAAATGGCATGTGCATGATTAATGTTGCTGTTAGCTGCTGTCCAGTTGATTTTGATTCATAGGGACCCATGTATGACAGAGGAGAACTGCTCCTTAGGGATTTCTTGGCTGTGCTCTTAATGGAAGCAGATTGCTCGGATTTTTCCCTGGTGGCTTAGTGGGTTATGGATTGGGCTGCAAGCCGCAAGGTCAGCAGTTTGAAACCCCTAGCAGCTCAGTGGGAGAAAGATGAGGCTTTCTACTTCTATATGGTCTAGGAAGCCCGCAGGGGCAATTCTCCTCTGTCCTGTATGGTCACTATGTGTCTGAATTGGCTTGATGGCAGTGAATTTGGGTTTTGGTTTAAGCTGGGTGGGTCCAAACTACTTTTAGGTTAGTGATCTAGCCAAAACCATATGCACCAACTACAGAACTTTATTGGATGAATACAGGCAGGCTGCTGTGCTCTATTCGCTCTATTCGCTCCATTTGTCTTGAAGGGCATTGCTGCGTTTTGCTGTGAATGATGCTGGGAGTCTAGAAGAAGAGATGTGTGAAATGACATCCTTTGCATTTATTAAATCCCTACAGTGGGCACGGATGTTGCATACATGTTCTAATTTATCACAGCCGGGCTTACAACATCCAACAGAATTTGTCAAGCTAAGTTAGCATTTCAGATAAACAACAAAGAAAGCTTAGCTAACATACATCCCGGTATATTTTCCAGTGCAATCATATGGGCCATATGTTTTTTTAAAAAAACTGTGAGCAAACCCACATTTTGCCAAATAAGCTTGAGGGGTGTTCTCACAAAATGGGTTAATGCAAAATTCCATTCAAGGTGTGATTACTCATTGATTTGATGGGAGATGTACCACCACTTGAACAAGATTGGCCAATGTGGTCACCAGAAATAAACAACTTTAAAGGCTTAATTATAATTCTTTGAAGAAAACTCAGAAATGTAATGCAAATAAATTCAATAATTACCTAGGTTCTGAAACCGAATGCTTGCCATTTCAGTCAGCAATCTTGTGATCTGTTCCCATTTAATCATTAATCTCTACTGCACATTCCCAACACTTTTATTGGTGTGGTGCCCTTGAGTCAAACCCCATGAAAAACTCTCATACAGTTTATGGAGGTAATTAAAAAATTTGTGAGGTAAAATTACAAATGAACTTAAAAAGATGTAATCCTATTACTATTTGAGGTCCTTAGAATCGTTTTTAGAAATTTGAAGTGTAATAGGACTCACTTTTGCATGTTGCTGCCCTTCCACTCCACTGTCTGTTTTCCTGGCAGACACGTTCCCTAGTCCCCTGAGAAGCAATGAAGAAAGGCCATTGACAAGATTGTAACATTATAAAAAGGAGAAGACATGGAAGTGCAAAGCAATCTAAGTTACAAAGCTGACTCAGCATTGAAATGCTAAACAAAACTATAGTGGACATATTTTCCAAAGTGGGTTTAGATTGTTAAAATTTTTTTCATGAAGTTATAATAATAGGTTTGCTTCAATTGTTCTTTCACATGATCCTTCGGGAACGGCTGATAACCAGTGTGTTTGAGAAACTGTAGCAGTGCCACTGACCAGCAGGGCTATGGCTAGGGACTGTGAAAAGGGAAGTTAATCCGCTGTGCAAACTGCCACCCCAACCCACAGACATATGCTTAGAAGAATATGTTTTTATACCGAGCAGGGAGTTTAGCATAAATGCTTTTAGTGTTTTAAATTGAATTTATCTTTCAATACCTGAGAAGTATATCAAGGAATGTGAACCAGCTCTTTTACATCCATTGAACACCAAATGTTTGACACTTTATTGATACGAGAATGTGAATTTTCAATGAGGTAGCATCCACTAAACATAAAAGTGCCTATTTAAAATTTTAAATCTGTTGATGAATTGTTTCTAAAATGCGCTGGCTTGACTAAATTTACTTGCACAGGATTTGTAATGATCATTCTGAATTAAATAATGTTTTTCCTCAATAGCTTTTAGACCCTGAAAGCTACATAGATTTTTGCTCCTCATAGTTATTGAAATAAGATAACTGTTCTTTGATTCCTGGAAATAACTGCAATGAGTTTTTCTTTTTCTTCTTCCTCTATTTCCATTCCTTTTCTTAGAGCAAACAGTGTTATTCATGACATCAACCCTTTTCTCTGCTTAAATATATATAAAAAATCCAGTCTATGAAGCAGTGCAGTGGTTAAGAACTCAACAGTTAACTGAAAGGCTTCGACCTACCAACTGCTGCATGGGAATATGATGTAGCAGTCAACTTCCATAAAGATTTACAATCCTGGACATTGGGCCTCCACTAAAGTAATCCCTCAAAGCAAAAACACTTTTTTCCTATTAAACTGCCATTCTATGATACTCACCTTCAGGGTGCATAAGCAAATGTGGTGAAGAAAGCTGATGGTGCCCAGCTATCAAAAGATATAGCATCTGGGGGTCTTAAAGACTTGAAGATAAACAAGCGGCCATCTAGCTCAGAAGCAACAAAGCCCACATGGAAGAAGCACGCTAACCTGTATGATCACGAGGTATCGATCGGATCAGGTATCAGGCATCAAAGAACAAAAAATCATATCATTGTGAATGAGGGGTAGAACGGAGTGGGGCCCCAAAGCTCACCTGTAGGCAACTGGACATCCCCTTACAGAAGGGTCACAGGAGTAATGATGAAACATACAACTTTCCTCTAGTTCCTAAATGCTTCCTCCCCCCCTTCCCCCCACTATCATGATCCCAATTCTACCTTACAAATCTGGCTAGACCAGAGGATGTATGTACATTGGTACACATAGGAATTGGAAACACAGGGAATCCAGGACAGATGAATCCCTCAGGACCAATAATGAGAGTAGCGATACCAGGAGGGTAAATCAAAGGTGAGGAGAGAAAGGTGGAACCAATCACAACGATCTACATATAAACCCCTCCCTGGGGGATGGACAACAGAAAAGTGAGTGAAGGGAGACATCAGACAGTATAAGACATGACAAAATAACAATAATTTATAAATTATCAAGGGTTTGTGAGGGAGGGGAGGCGGGGAAGGAGGGGGGAAAATGAGGCGCTGATACCAAGGGCTCAAGTAGAAAGAGAATGTTTCGAGAATGATGATGGCAACAAATGTGCTTGACACAATGGATGTATATGTGGATTGTGATAGGAGCTGTACGAGCCCCCAATAAAATGATTTTTTTAAAAAGATTGAACGGTTAAATTACATGATATATGAAGTATGCCAGGAAAAAAAAATTACAACCCTGGAAACTCCATGGGGCAGTTCTGAGGGTGTCTATGAGTCAGAATCAACTTAATGGCAGTAAGTTTAATGGGCTGGAGCAGCCAACAAGATCAACAAGGCTACGTGCTAACTGAAACTATTAGGTTCTAAGTAATGGGTCAAGGAACTTGGACTAAAGCATACATGTGAATTTCAGCATCAGGATTTTGTGACACGTGTTTTCATTGTCCAAAGCCTATTGGACATTTTGTTTTCTTAATCACATGGTATCTTAGAAGGTGTTTTTTGGTTTTTATTTGGATCTACTGATATCTTTCTCATTTCTGGAGGTCATATCTAAATCATTGCTATTTACACAATATTATCATGAGAAGTATAATTCCATTAAGCTTCAATTTGAGGAAAAATATAATCACTTAAGTAACAGCAGTCACTTAAACCATATATGAAAGATAAGTCAAAATTACTTTTGAGGAGAGATGAAAAATTGTGTTAACTTTCTTGTGGTTCTGGATGTACAGTAGTTGGTTCATTTGAAAGAAGAATCAACTGTGAAGAGAATTTACTTCTACTTTCAGGATGTGGGGATGAAGGGTAGGATCTAGACCTTGGGGAAAGATAATGAGGAAAACCCCTTGGTGCACAGACATGTCTCACTGTGAAAGCAGGATATGGCAGACCAGGAAAATCCCTTGGAGGAAACTAACCCCCGGAAGCTCCAACCATGCTTCCTGGTGAAGGTGGAGGCTTTGCAGCTCCACTTCTTATGAAAGGCCCCTTGTTTCCATTGGACACAGTGCACCTCTGACTGGAGGTGGCAGCACAAACCCAGGTTCAGTTGCTTCATTTTGGGTAGGGAGAGGTGAAACAAGCACAGCTGTTACCAAGACCATCTTTGGGATCATTTTTACTCAATTCCATTTCTGAAGACACTGGCCCGTTTGCTTTGTGTCAAGAAGGCATTCTAACTCTCACCACTGGTCCTGAAGGAATCATCTGTCCTGGGTTCCCTGTGTTTCCAGTTCCTATCTGTACCAATGTACATCCTCTGGTCTAGCCAGATTTGTAAGAATACACTTTAAGATATAAAAGTCGACTTCTGGGAAGATGGCGGACCAGGGGATGTGCATACTCAGAGCTCTTTCGAACAAGGCGGGTTTGGTGTCCAGGTAGCCGAGTGGTAGGAGTCTGGTGAGTGAAATATCCCTCCAGCCAGCACCCCATCCCCACCCCACGCATTTGTCCTGAGCTGGAGCCGTGGTGATCTAGGACCCGATTTGTGGGACATCTTGGGTCACTAAGCCCCCACCACTGGAGCTGAGACTAGCTATAGCCCCACTCCATCCCCAGACCAGGACCCCATACCCAGAGTCACTTGCCGGCTCTGCCAAGACACGCGCAGCAGTGGTGGGACCCCCTACAGCAGCTGCCCACTCGTGGGACCCCACTAGGAAGGAAGCTTCCCTTTCCCATGGTTCCCCTCTCCCCACGTGGTAGCGATCTGCCCCTGGGGCTGCGTCCGTCCCTCCATTCATTCATCCAAGGCCGGGGTAACAGACCTGCAATCTACCGCGGGCAGCCAGGGTGACCCCCATGGGGGACCATCTACCCCAATTGCTGCCTGGGACCTCCCCACCAGCACCCGGTATGCTAGCTCCCGCTCCATTCCCGGCCCGGGAAGCAGAGCCACGCACATCCCGCCGGCGCAGGCCTGCAGCCAGAGCCCAGCCCAACCCGCTCCTATCCCTGACACTGCATCCCTTCTGGAGCCCCTGCAAGCTGACCTGTGCCCGGAGTGCTAAACCTGTCTGCCGAACAGTGGGCACTCCTGCAGACTGGGAGCTTGAGCGACAGGGCTCTGTACTCTTCCCAGAGCAGTTTTGCCCTCCCGGGTGCACAGAGGGGTTTCCAGCACCCAGCAGCTCCAAGCTCTGAGCCTGCCACGCGTGCTCCTCTCAGGGTGGAGGGCAGTCGTCATTGCCGGCTGCATCCCGCCAGAGCCGCTGCTGTCTGATCCGGTTCAGACCATGTCACTGACGATCCTGCGCCATTCACAGGGCCGGTAGCTCAAGCGATAAACACCTGCCTGCTAGGGAGCCTGGGACCCAGCTTTGCAGTCCCCACTGGAGTCGTCTGTGCACTCCGACAGGCTCTCACCACTGTAGTGCCCTGTGGGGTTCCCAGTGCCAGCTTCTAAACCTGCCCCAGCCCTCTCCAGCCGGCATAGGAGGCGGGCGCTGTGGCATGTGCCTCCCTCAGCTCCCCGTGCGGCCCCTGTAGTGCTTCTACCGCCTGTGTAGCCTCTGCCCACAGACTCCCGCCTACATGGTCTGCCCACAGGCTCAACTCTACAGGCCGGCGGGGACCTGAGAGGGCTTGCTGATCTGAAGAACATTTTCCCCTCACATAGCCGGGCTCTGGAGCCCAGATAAGCACCATGTCCCGAGGCAGTGAGGCTTAGCCCACCTCTACTTTCTATTAGGCTTCACTAGAATTTGGAGGGAAAAGAATAGGGGGGAGGGGGGGAAGAATCTAAATATATACATATATGTATCTTTTATTTCATGCTGGTTTTTCTTTTTCACTTTTACATTGTGTTTTCTTCTCTCCCTTCTTTATTCCTCCTTTTTCATTATTGCTATTACTTCTCTTCTGCCCCTTTTCTATAGGTTTCATTCCATCTCTTTTTTTCTTTTCCCACTTCCACTATTATCATTTCTTTTCTCTCCTCTTTTATAGCTTCTCCTTCCTTATCTCTCCATTTTTTCCTTTTCCTCCCCAAAATTTTAAAATTATTTTAAAATTTTTAACTCATTAACTTTTTCTTTTTTATTACTAAACAAACAAACAAAAAAGGGCTGCTAAGGGTACCTTGACAGACCAGGTCAAAGTAGCCTGGGGACACTCACTGAGGATCCAGCCCCCACTCCAGTCGCGGAAACATCTCACCACTGCTGGTAACTAAACCTTCAGGGAACTCTGCCTACACAGCAGTTTGACCCATCCTTAAGAGTAGGTCATAAGAAGCCACCTGAAAGAATCCTTAACAGTAACA